AAGATTCAAAGTATCTAGGCAACGTTTCGATGAAGTCTCATTCATCATCTTCAGGCTTGCGTCTTCCGCTCTGTGCTTCTCAGAGTGATGTCTCACTCTGAGACACTCACATCTCACATCACTCTGAGAAGCACAGAGCCGAAGGTGTAAACACGGTCTAAAAAGTAGTCCTACTAAGTGTTAAGAAAACAAAAGCAGCAACAATATCCATGAAAATCAGTGTTGAGTACTAAGCACAAAGGAAATTAAAGTACAATATCACACATACTTTGGACATCCCATTTTCCCCTAACTGGTTCTAGCCCATGTAATGTCGCTTCTGCTATTAATACCCACTCTTGTTTCATCATCAAAGGAATCCCTTTCAATTACTATGAAGAGGATAGTAATTTCATCAATATGAGCTAGCATTTTCATCAATATTAAGAAAAGGGTTATTCTATAAGTGATGATATGTAATCTCAGAGCTGTCTGAGTTACTGCTCCAAATGTAATAGATTGTATTAATAGAATAGATTGTATTAAGTCTAAATTTGCATGTGAAAGCTAGCATTTCCATTTCCATTTTAGTTATCTGCATACTTATTGCTATTCTAAGGAAAGGGCATAATAGTACCTCATTTTTTCTCTGCTGGTCATATATTTGATCCTAAATATCTGTCTCTATACACCAGGCAGAAGTAGGTTACAGTTTTAAGAGTTGAAGTTGGTTTTAGACATATATGATTTCTTATGATGTAAGTATCACTGAAATCCCCATAATAGTATTTAATTAATCAAATGTTGAGATATAATAATCATATTACAGTCAATGCACTGTATATAGGGGCATCAAACCTCTATCAGTTGTGAATAATAGCTTCATACGAATATATGTTGGGGACATAGAAAGTGAAGAACTCAGATATCATATTGGATTTATTTGAAAGTAGGTAACATAAGATTTATTTTGCAAAAAGTTCATTTTCATATGAAAAGAGTACAGTAAGAATAAATGGCTTAGATTTAACAACGAATACCAATGTCAATGCTAAATTATGGGTTTGTCTCATCACTTTGGCTTCTTCCCCAGCACACTTTAAAAATCAAATCCATAATACAGTACACAACTCTGTAGTTCAGCATTGTATGATTTCTATTCATTACTTAAAAGTTGTTGCATACATGCAATGATTGTTTAGAGGCTTTGCAACGAAATTAGGCATTTTTGAAAAAGCTTCACATCCCTGTTCATTATCTAAGTTTTCTAAATATTTTTAAAAGGGCTGACGTAGATGACCAGGCCCTCAAGAAACTATTGTATATATGACATGTACAATTTTTAAAATATCTGGCAAAGCAATTATAATATCACATACCTGTGATATGGAATGAATCAATATTTTTTACCATCATTCTATCTAACGGAATAGGCTGGCCAAGTACTATGCAGTTACCACCTTCTTCAAGCAAAGATTGCAATTCCAGACTGAAGAAAGAACAAGCAGGTGTTAAACTCAGGTCAAATTTCTGAAATGAAATGAAAAACATATTTGCAATCCATGATTGTAGGGAAAGCAGGAAAGATTCAAATTAAGGTAAGTAGCTAAATTGCAAGACATAGGAAAAAGGATCCTCTGAGATAAATAAATAGGAATAAACAGTAGTACAAGGGTGGGAGTAGGGCTAGTGTCAAAAATGGCAAGGTGGCAGATACAGTGTTGTGATGCAAGGCCTAGCATTTTTGGCGCACATACTCCAAAAGAGCAAGGGGCATTATAATTATGTCCTTGCCAATTTTGATATCCCTGTCCATAGTTGCCATTGAAATAAAACTTTAGGAAGAGCTAGCAAACTCATCTTAAATCCTCTACTTCAGGGGTGTCAAACTCACGTCACGTGATGTATTGGAACTTTCCCCTTCACTAAACTGGACATCGGTGTGGCCAGTGTGTGACGCATTTGGCCCATGGGCTGGGAGTTTGACAGCCCTGCTCTACTTTATGTTGTAGTCAGGGGTGGGATTCAAAATTTTTAATAACCTGTTCTGTGGGCATGGCTTAGTTGGTGGGCGTGGCTTGGTGGTCATGTGACCGGGTGGACGTTATTGGCTGGGTGTGGCCAACTAAACATCACTCACATCGAGGCACGCATCTGCTCGCCTGGCCTCTCATGACTGTGGGTGTTCCATATTAGCAGGCTCGAAACCCTGCAATCCTATTGGTCCAGACAAACCGGATCATGATTGGATGGCTTGAATGTTCCTGATTGGCTCATACAGGGTTTGACGCGATTGGCTAAAACCAAGCGCGGCAAACTCAAAGAGTTGTCATTGGCTGCCTAGCCGCGGCCAGCTCTATAAGAAGAGCTGCCGCGCGCTAGGGTTTTGTCTCAGAATCTATCTGTAAAATAAAGACCTGTTGTTCACTACTCGAGCCTCGTCTATTCATGGGACCCACCGACCGAACTTAACAGTGGGGATGCTGCATCAGTCCTAAGTGTGAAAAGTGGTCATAAGTCACTTTTTTCAGTGCCATGGTCACTCCACACAAGTGAAGTATCAGCAAAGGAGGGGGGAAAAAACTCCAGAGAAGTTCCTGAGACAGGAAGTCTAGTCCTGCCAAGAATGTAATAAGGGTTAATGGAGAGGCAGTTTCTGTAAGCAACACCAGAATGTTTCCTTCCTGCCTTCCTTACAGGATTAGGCCAGTAATTTCTTCTAACAACCGGTTCTCCAAACTGCTTAGAATGTTAACAACCGGTTCTAGCGAATAGGTGCGAAATGGTAGAATCCCACCCCTGGTTGTAGTGTAATTAACCTTAAAGTTCAATTAATGGGAGGCAGATGGAATGGAGGAAAAGGAAACCAACTAATTTGGAAGGAGACAGGAAACTAGCTCAGAAACACATACTGACACATGTTTGGACATGTTCAAAGAGAAGAGGGAGGAAGAAAAAGAAAAGACAAACTTATTTGAAATAAGCGTCGTGAAGTTGCTTATGATGAAGTTGCTTATTGATGATGAAGTTGATGTATAAATCAGGCTACTAATTTCATTTCCTGCTTCTATCAAAAGCTCTACTACAAGTGACTAGCTTTGCACGGACATGCTAAACCAGGGGTGGGCAAACTACAGCCCGTGGGCCACATCCGGCCCGTTGGTCTTTTTAATCTGGCCCGCCGAAGATTGGTACAGAATTAAGGCTTGATGTGAATGATTGAATGATTGCATTCATTTGATTTTGACTTGTAATGACAGGCATTTCGACACCAGGTGGCGGCCCGTCTGTCAAATTTTAAAAGTTAATGAGGCCCCCGAGCCAAAAAGTTTGCCCACCCCTGTGCTAAACCATAATATGGTTTCTTTATTTTTGGCTTAATGAGATATCTGAATCATCATGCTCAAGAAATCATAGCAGTATGCTTGAATCAAACCAATATACCTAGTTCAGCAAACCATGATTACAGCTAGCCCCATTTTAGTGATTTTGTGAAGCAAGTCACTCTTTGCATAGCTTTTGACATAAGCCAGAAATATCCTCTGGTTATTAATATTAACTGTATTTACTACCTATTGTGAAGAGACCCAAGGGGAGTTCCCATCCAATATCCTTCAGCCAAGTTGTAATAACTATTATGCACAATGAAATAGAAGATATTGAAAGTATGAAACCAAATCCTAAAAACAAACATGGTTGACATAAGCAGGTATTACAGGTCCTCCAAAGACTTGGCTTGTATCATGGCAACCTTTTGAAGTCCTTCTGTTCTGGGAGATTAGCTCTCCCCAAATAATAAACTAATGGCTTTAGTGTATGCTTTACAAGAGTGTTTTTTGTTTCTTTAAAGTTGATCTTCAAGGATAAGCTTCCTCCCTCCCTGTGTATTTAGTGAGCCCAGGTAATCTTAATCTTTGCATTTCAGTAGGCCTGTTTTCCCCCAATTTCTAGAGATTTCTTTATATCAAGACATGTTTAAACTGTTGCAAATTCCTTATTTCCATCTGCTATCTCTTTGATGTATGATATTTTTCCATCTTCTTAAGATCGTTTCCTGCTGATTCGAAAGCTGTTGATCAGCATGGAACTGAGGGTGAACAACAGAAGTTGGGGGCCATTCCAAAAAGTTCCTCCATGTAAGCAAACAATGGGCTTATTTGGTAAAGTATGTCTTTGTAAATGTTAGAAACTGCCTCATGAAGCAAAAAAAAAAAAAAAAGACAATTCCAAGTACTGAATGGAAGAGTTCTGAAAATAAGTCAGGTAGCTTTCTGCAAAAGGACATAGTTTAATTCCATAGCCCTCTTCTGAATTCTTTGATAATTAAATAATTGCTTTGCCAGTTATCTACAACTCCTCCTGTTCCCATCAAGTCAAAATGTATATAAATACAATAGCAGCTGATTATTATTTTTCTCTTTCTTTCCTTTTTTATTTTGTTACCTTTTTATATCTGTTAGGTTTTGTAATCAATAGCAAATCATCAAACAGGAACAGATAGACGTCAGTAAATCTCATAGATTCTGCAGAGCAAATAAAAGGTGAACCATGATACAGGTATATTAAAAACGAAACTATTTTCTGAGCTCCTCACTACCTTTTGATTTTGGCAGATCTAACAGAAAATTTTGGAAGAAGTTGAAAAGTATGTTACTTATGTTTTCTAACCAATAGAACTCTGATTTTGTAATATCCTTTTATGTATGAAGACATTGGAAGAAAATAGCTCCTTCCTATTAGCACCCTACAATTTTAAAAGTATAAAGAGATTAAATTTGTATTTGAATTATTAAACATTCATATCAGCCACAGTGATACTGTATGGACTGCAATGTAAAGATAGATCCTCATGTAAAAATTATTGCAATCTACAAGGCTGAATTAAATAGATGGTTGCAAAGCACTGGTGCCAGCAGAAGTAACTTAAGTCACACTATGGATTTCAAGTCTGGAGTTTTACTATAACTGTTCCCATTCATCAGAAAAAAAAACCCAGTCCCATAATATGAAAGAACTGGCTAAGAGAAAGGAGTTTCAGCCATAACAGGCAGAACAAAAGAATTCTTCAAGAATTAATACTTTAGTAGATTGCTGTACCAATCCTGGGAATACCTATATGTAAGCAAGGGGACACCTGTTGGAGATTCACTTGGTCATGTCTAAGTAATAGGCTTTGCCTTTGCAAACCATGGAGAGGGATGCTATTGTCAGGGCTCCAACAAATCCCCCTCATTCAAGGCAAAAGTCTCTAGCTGCATCTCAGAAAAAGTAAATTGGTTTAATAGAAATTGCCATGTTGGTGCGTGGCTGGATGCAGCCGGTACTAAATCACATAATTTCCCCCTTGACCCTGGTCTTCTCCCCATCCCCGAACCGTGACTTCTCCAATAGGACACATCAGTCTCCAAGAGTCATCCATTATGCTCTCCAATAACCTTCTTATGCTCCGACAACTTTAGGCTACTGAGTTGGTATCTAGGCATTTCAAAAATGCCTTGTTTCCCCACACTCCTTTTTTCTGGCAGCTAAAAAGACCAAAGGAGTATCTTTTTAACTGTCAGCTATCTTGATTTTATGAAATCTCTGAATACTTAAGATTTATGACATTTATGGAAGCCCTAGTTTTCTATGATTAATGCTGTGATTTCAAACTATGGTCATTTACTTTTACTTATTAAATAGTAAATATCCAGAATTAGACACAAACATGAGCTAGAAATTCTGCCTGGATAACATGTGTTCTGTGCCTCATTTTGTAAAGACTTTGTTTCTGTTCTTTCATGAGGTTTGGAATCTATTTCATCCTGCATACTGTCTAATTTTCTTGCCAAATATGAAATATTGTATTTACCTGCAAGTATCAATCGGCCTTCAAGAACAAGTGATCTCTTTGTAGGTGACAAGATGTTTTCATGTGGATTATCTCTTAGCATGTACTTGAGAGACTTAAGATGAGGAAAAAGGAAGCCAGAAAAGGCCACTTAATAGATAAGAAGTGAATTTTTATTTGAAAGTATAAAGAAAATAAATAACAAATAGTTGCCAATAGAAAACAAACTGACACATCATGATACTGTTAAAAGCTGCAAGAACAAAATCTTATATACAAACTTCACAATAAAAAGTTATTAAGCTTTAATCTTTAGCCCTGCTTTGTTAATGAGATCAGGATTTCCAACTTCAACAATACACACCCATATTTGGTATTTTTTCATACTTTCTTCTCTCAGAGGCTGGCCAAAGAAATGAAAATGCTGGGTATAACTGTGGTTATACCCAAACATTATTCAAACATTAAAAATGCTATATAAGATCAACTGGAGGATGGGAGAGGGACTGAAGGGGTGAAAATACAAGATTTCCATTTTAGAGTCTCCAAGGCCATACTTGCCTGGGACCCTTCAACCTTCATAGTTCATACTGTGATACATCATTTGAAACAAATAATCAATAGATAGTAACCTTTTATATTCAATGTTGTGATTGATTATTGTGATCTAGCAGCTATGAAGGTAGAATATTCCACACTATGTGATAATGGTTAGAATCTTTTACTCCATTTGTATGATAATTCTTAGGTCAGAAAGATTAAAGACTATGCTATAACATTTTCTGTGTTAATCAAGAAATTGCATACCTCAGGAACAAAATGTCTCTTGTCTTGATCCCAAAGTGAAGGCCAAATTATAATTTCCTGAAGCTGTTTAAATTTCTGAAAATTATCCAGCCATTTCACTTTACCTTCCAAATCGCCTAAAATATGCCACAGAAAGCCAGTAATTGATGACTGATAATAGCATTTCTATAAACATTTATGGTGACAAATTATGATGAACATTAGCAATCTTCACACAAAGTAGTAAATGTCCACATTGGTAAACTCTAGTGTAATTTTATAATCTGTGGATATCATACTATTTTAGAAACACACACACACACACATCAAAACTGAATTGTCCGATTTTTAGTTTCTTGTGCTTATTCTGATTTGAATAGGTTGATTTTTAAAATAAGTTTGTACAATACTACTACTGATAGTAGTATTGAATAACATTTACATTAACTTTCAGAACAAAAAAGTTCCCCAAGCAGCTTACAGTAAATCTCAGAAGTATTTCAATATCAATATCTTATAACAACAGCAAACATAAAAAAATGTAAGAACTTTAGCATAAAATAAAAAAAATATTCAGATACAATGATAAAATATTTAAAAGAATTGCTAGAGAGTTGGAACTAAAAATAGAAACAAAATGTATTTAAAAACTACATGGCAAAACTCACATAGAATGAAAAGGGAAAGGAACAAAAGGAAAAAGAAAGCTTTCCAACAAAAATAGTAAAACAAGGACCAGAAGATATTTCAGTGTTGTGGGATTAACACGGAGAAGGCCTGGCCACATCTCAGCCTGCAAATTCCCGAGGCCTTCAGAGGTAATTTAAGGCTTGTGTAGAGAAAAAAATATTCACAAGGATGCTGTAATCAAAAGCTGATATTATAGCCCAGGGGTCTTCAAATTTGACAGCTTTAAGACTTGTGGACTTCAACTCTGGGAGGTGAAGTCCACAAGTCTTAAACTTGCCAAGTTTGAAGACCCTTGTTATAGCCTTTAAAATAAGATAGTGGAGATATAACATTGTAATGAAGTAACATCAACCTTGCATTGCCATTTTATTGATGTTTTAAGTTTCTTTACTCACGTATTGATGTTTCCACCTTTTCCTTAAGTGAATTAATGATAACTTTCTCTGCTGCGTCTGTATTTTTCCAAATGTTCTTTAACAGGAGGGGATAGCGAGTCAACTTGTGTAAAGGTGCAACTAACATTTCAGCTAGACGAAGTCGCTTACATTCTTTATTCCGCTCACACCACTATTAAATTTGATGGAAAAGACATATTAGGAAACAATTTCAATGGGATTTCTTAACAGAATGAATATTGGTCATACCATAAACCATTTATTTCTAAGTTTAAATTGAATATGACATTATTTATTGGATAACTTAATCTTTGCAAATTATTCTATTTTAAATGAATATTTTTAATAGTATTTTTATACTATTACTTTTAAGCATTACACTTAAAAAGAAAAACTAAAGCAATAAAAGAATGAAAAGAAAAAATAGGAAATGCAAAAAAGAAAAGTAGAAATAAGAATAAGAATAGAAAAAACAAATATACAGTAAAAAAAGAAATATATAAAGAAATGATTTCCTTCTTGAGCGAACAAAAATAAATTATTTTAGTAATCATCTATACAAAATAATTAACTAAAATATTTTTAGTTACAATACAGAAAAATAGAAAAAGTGTTCAACAATTAAAAATTTGGTTTAAAAACATTGTTGTGTTAAAGTTTTTTTGTGTTAAGTCTGACTTTGCTAATTTTTGTTTTCATAAACACGTGTATTTTTTTTTCCTTGGCAGCAATTTTCCCACTGCTGCTTTTTGTAAATATTTACTTGTCCTTCCAGGCTTGCTTGCCTCCTTACTATTTCCTGGTCATCTCTCATTCAAGTATCAATCAGATATGACCCTCTTTAGCTTCTGAGATCAGCCAAAATGAGCTAGCTGTGCCATTTGACAGAACTTAACATATTGATCAACAACAAAATTCTGCCACTATTCAGTTAAAAGCAGCCTGAATCTCTCCCTCTCTCTCTCTTCTCTCTCTCTCTTCCCTCTCTCCTCTTTCTTTTTTGCTTAGTGCTTTCTCCTGGACATAGTGAAATCAGTTTAAACACTGTAAAAGAGATCAAGGATCCAATTAATAGCTTTACTTTCAAATAGGTGCCAAAATCTTCTCTTTTTTTCAGTTTTTCCAAGTAAAAAATAGCAGAAGTGTAAGTCAGACAGTATATCTGATGGCTCTGACACAGGTTACCTTTGAAATGCTGGAAGATAAACAAAATATTAGGCACTTAATGATAGAGTACAAAGCATACTGATCCATGTGCTTTTTTAAAAAAAAATTGCCTTGAAATTTTTACCTAGCCATGATGCTGAACTTTCTACTAACTTTCTATTAATACTAGTTCTTTGATCATGATTGATACAAAAACAAAGCTACAGTGGGCATGATCCAGCCTTATTGCAAGGTTTAAAATAGTAAGCACATTAGTTTAGGATGATTTTAGTGAAATTTACTGTATTTCTCATGAAATAGCCATAAAATCATGGAACCTATTGGTTTCCTTTGGCTTACAAAAGGAAACTATCACCAAAACCTCATTTTACCAGACTTAATGCAAAGGACATTGCATATGAAAGACCAAATTTCTGCTGTGATTTGTATATTTTGGATAATCAGAGAATTACCAAACTAGGATGATTTGCATGATGTGTATCACAACTTAATCACACAAATCGTATCATAAACTTGCCATGCCCTATTCTCCCATTCAATGGACTGTTCTCAATAACAGAGACCTTTCCTCCCAATTAGTCTGGTAAAGCAAAATTTTACTGCTGTGATAGTCTTGTATTGTATACAGTTGTCCAGACAGATCTATCCAAATGTCAGATTTCCATTTCCCTCATCATAGCCACAATGACCAAAGACCTGCAGCCTGCAGAATTGTGAGCACCAAAATATCCAAGACACCCAGAAGTCAACAGACTTGGGAAAAACACATTATCATAACTAGTAAAAAAGAAGCCACTTTCTGAACACTTGTGGCTAAAATACCTTTTATGTGGCATCGTAGTGATTTTAGACTAAAACGACAGAATTGTGGGTTTCTTTACAGGAATCAAGACTTCTGCTTTCCAACATTTCTCACCAGGTTCATAATGGAATGTATTCAGTAACTTATTACCTTTGTGAGCACACTGATGAAATCAAGGGAGGGTGTTTGCCCGAGAAGAAGATCCTCCATGGTGCTAAATAAACTGGTTACAAAACTTAGAGTCACCTAAGCAAAGAATATATTTATTATTTAAAATTAATTTTGTATCTAAAATCTGTAGACTTCAACATATAGATGGCATGAGGATTTGTAAGGTTTGCAAGCCACCCAGAGTCACCTTATCAGTGAGGGGGCGGCATAAAAATTTAATAAATAAAATGAGCCACATTCCTTTCCATTGAGGCTTTTGATGCCTGTAGGCTAGAACAGGACAGCATCCGCAAATAAAAAGTGGATAGGATTAAAAAGTGGATAGGATTAAAAACTGAAGATGGCTCCTTTTGTACAGCTGGGAAAGACCATCCCATCTGCTGCAATTGGGACTTGAAAATGCTTTGGGATGTCACTGTGTAATTGGCAGGAAGGCACAACCACATAGAAAAAAAAGGCTATTTTTCCTGTTAATCTTCCCAAAAGTTACTTGCTGTACTTCTCTTCCACTTCAATTCTCAATTCTCAAGCCTAGTTGCTTCACTTCAACAGAGTTTGTCCTGGTTTTTTTTTTTTTTTGGTGCAAGTGACTGTGACCGTTTCCCCAGATCATTCCTGGGGCAGCCAAATTAGGTTTGGCAAAAAAACCTTTTCATTGTTTTCAATGGAATATTTTCTTAAATCCTATTACTGAGGATGAACAATTCTAGATGGGCCCAGATTGGGGAGGGGGATGCTCTGTTGAATTTGTGTAGCACAGTTTATGAACATTCCTTTGAAATTAAATGATAATATATTTCTGGATCTTATGTATTATTCCAAGACAGGGAGCCAAAGACATTCTTTTGTAATGCTGGTGTTAAGATCTCAGGATCTTTTTTTCTTTCTCCATCTTAAAATAAGGACACATCTATGAATTATTAACAGATACTAAAATGAATTTTGGATGATTATTAAAAAGTAGGTCAGATTTGGTGAGCACACAGTTTTTAACCATCAGACCAGGAGTCCAAATTTTGTTCAATGTAGGGTTATATGACATCCTTTATAATTAAATCACAACTTTGGAATAAATGCTTTGGAAAAGTTAGTATCTTATATTTTCTATTTCAGTTTTCCAGAGATTTACATTTAAAAAAACAAGCAGTATTTGGATTATTTTGATACCAATAATGTTTAATTATTACCAATCACATTAATTTGGTGGCATGAATAATTCTGGTATGGCCACATTTTTATTATCACTAAAGTTCCTTGTTGTCACCTGATTTAATTCTTCCAGGTTTGCAAATAGTAACTCAGGATCCACATCTGATAGGAGTTCTTTGCTCTGCAGGTACTTTAATGTATCCAAAAAGATCTTTGAAAAACAAAGCAACAAACAGCAATTTCTGGATAATAATTTATTTTCCAAATCCTTTAATCTTACCCTTTCTACTAGTTCTTCTTTTGAGGAAACTAATCCATTATAGTTCTAAAACAGAGCTCAGATTTCATTCAAAGACTACTTTGTTTTTAAACTAGAATTTCAGAATTATTATAATTATGAAATTATAATTATTATAAGTAAACATTTATTTCTAGGGGAAACAGAGAGATTTAGACCAAAAGGAATTTAAAGTCAAGAATTAGTTATGGCTAAATAAACTTATCCCTGTCAGAAGACAGTGTTATAATTTAAGACAGTCATTTTATTGTTGCCATCATTAAAGGACTGGGAATATCTTATCCCTGCCAAAACTATTTCAGATCGTATGGGGAACTATTAGTAAATTACAAACTGTGCTCTGTACATCCCCCAAATAACAAAAATAAATAAAAAAATCCCAAGAATAGCACTACATTTCAAGGGCCTGGAATATATGCTTGTATATGAGAGAATGCATCTAAATTTCCCCCAATTCCCCTGAAATCCCCTGTAATAACACAAGATAGATGTGCTCATAACTGCTTGGAAATCTTGTGTATTGCATTGCTGCCAAGTTGAAATGACAATTATTTCACAATTCAGCTAAAGGATGAAACCCTCCAAATGGTTTAATTTGAAGTAGGCATGTTTAAAATCAAGCATATGTTTTCCCCATGTTCTTTGTTTTATGCTGATTTATTAAAACATTTTCTTTGAAATGTTAATATAATGAAACTATTACATTACGTATAGTAAGTTATGATGGTGGTTATCTACTGCACATCTTTATAAGACATACTGTGAGAACCAAGCCTTGTGTACAAAGTATTGGATCAGAGGCCATCAAGAAATGTTAAGACTATAACCTGTTAGAAAGTGGAAATGACATTCCGTTAGTTCAAATGCCATTGAGCTAATGACAAACTATTCCAATACTGTACCAAGGAAATCTGAATATGTCCATAAAATTATCAGGAAATGAATTTGACTGGAGGAAGATTTCCTTTTGGAAAGACTCATTACTAGAACACCTTCCTCTTACATTTGAGGAAGCTATTTCTAGTAAGTATAGTTCCCCATTTAAGTAAATACAAGTAGCCTTTCCCCCCCACAAATGTATTTGTATAACTGGATTTCAGTTATCATGTAGTAAGGAAGCTGGTAAATGGAGAAGTGAAAAACAAAAGCAGTGTAGTGTTGAAGAAACCAGGAAGTTTCATAAAAAGTAGCCTTTGTTTCATGATTGGCCTTGTTTGTACATAATACTGAGGCAAGATTTTTTTTTTTGAATCATGCATTGTTGAACAACAACTTATGGTTTGGTTCACATTTAACTTTGAGCTATGCAGAATGAACTTGCATATCACTTGTATAAACCAAAAATAAGCAAATCACATTATTGATGGTATGTAAGATTGTTAATTGAGTTTCTCTGTTCCTAAAATAACATTACACTAACCTTCCTTAATCCACTATGCTGAATTATACTTTCCATTTATCTAACACATATTTTTCTTAAGCCAGTGTTAGAAATTCCATCCTGGACTACAACAGGTTGGTAATGGAACGGGGCTTGTATTCACCTGGAATAGGGCCATTGCAAGATCTGCTTGGTCATTCTCCTGTTTCTTGCTTTTTTATCCATGCATGGAAAACAACCCTCGCCAGCCAGGACCAATGTGGACCAATCTGCCAATATTTTCCTTTCCTTTCATGGATTGTTCATTTCTTACTAGTTTCTATGAGTCTCCTTGATTTTGGAAATGTTTCCACCCTTTCCCCCATATTAGCTCCTTTGACCCTAAAAGTGATTATTTGCCCTCTTCTTCCCGCATTATGTTCTTATATTGTGATAAACAGAGCACTGGTTTTCTTGTTTCCTCTGTAGTGCCATGGAAACTCTTTAGCAAGAAAGGACTGAGTTCAGCTTTATAGAAACCAAATAGCCATGTCTCTCCATTGCAACTTAAAGCTTTTTTTTTTTTTTTAAAGGAAGGATAGTTTTGCAAAACTGTGTAGCATAAGCTTCTGGGGTTGAAGATGAGTCACTGACATAATGGATCATTGACTTTAATGTCAAGATTAATTTAAAAATAACAACTACCCACCAGCAGAGAACACAGAAGCCTAGCAATCCAGGATGAAATGGCTGCAAGGGAAGCAACCAGCAGTGGGAGGCCGGGGCATGCAAGGAATGACATCTTATTGAACATGGGCTGCTACTAGGATGGATCACCAGAGACCATCTGCGCTGAAGCACTTTAGATAGGTCCCATCACAAAACTACAGTTTTGAGCTGACGCTGGTAACACAGATATGGGATGTGTGTAATGGGCTGGAATGAGAGGGGATATTGTCATTCATTCCTGCACTGAGATGGCAGAGAGCATCCCTCAATGCTGATAGGCAAAGCAGAAAGTCTGGGTCTGCTCTTAGATTAGAGATATCCTTTTCCAATTCACTTCATTCCAGTTGAAATTGATTTGTAAAAACTGCCAGAGTCTTGTTTAGCAATCCCTGCCATGGCTGACATGTCAGCTTACAGAACACCACCCTCAATGGAGCAGATGGTTGCACAAGACCCCCCTGTCAGCTGAATGGGTAAGCTGTAAGCAGTAAAATAGTTGAAAAACTTAAGTATACCATTTTGAGAACCAACAGATGATCAAGAAAATAGTTGCATTCTGTTGTGAATAGCTCCCACACAGCTTCTTTCTTCTTTGTGTCTAACTGATCACTAGTGGCTTGTGACTCCAGTTGATACATCTTCAGCATTTCATGCCATGTTTTATCCTGTAATTGTGAATACAAATATACAGTATGCTTCTTTATGCATATTTATTCTCAAAGGGATCTTTCATCTTTGCTGTTTTAACACCAGAATGATTGTTGATGGTCATATGTTGAATATTTGTTATAGAATTAAAACTCATATAAAATAACATTAATAGTGCCATATCTTATATATAGCAATGAGAAAAATAATGTTAAGAGAAATCAAAGAGCCAAGTTAAAACAAATGTACTAAAATTATGTGATAAGAAATATTATACCTTTACACTGTGAAATTTGTAGCCACCAGACTCAGACATTTTAATGGTTAGAGTTGAGAGATAATATTCCAGCTCAGCCATTTGTTTTTGTTTGTCTTTATTCTATTTAAAGATAAAATTCATATGTTAATTTGAAAAAGTTAAAGTCATATTTTTAAACTGGAGGGAAGGTTGCAGATCATTTCCCAATAAAGTCCCCCTTTAGAAAAATAAGATCAAACTTCAATAAGGCAGTCCAGAAGATACATGAATTTTAATATAATATGGTTGCCAACCATTATGGAATATAGACGAAAAATGAAGTAGACTGATCTACTAAATTAGTCAATATTGGCATAGGAAAATAAACAGAAATATTGTGAGTGTTTTTATTATAAATGAATATTTTCAGAATGTACTGAATGCAGAAAAATTAAATGAAGTTTATTCATCATCCTTAAATTATGAGGGTATCACTTTTGCTCTTCCACCAAAGTGAAAGAAAACTTAAGGCTTGCTGTAGCATGACTTGTGTTTTTATATGCAATAGCTTACTGAAATAATGTATGAGTTGAATATCAGTGCAAAATACAGGGCTGCTATAAGGATAAACAGCTACCCTTCTCTGGTATTTTATAATATGTTATAGCAGTGGTTCCCAAACTTTTTAAGTCTACCACCCCCTTTAAGTCCACCACCACAAACTCATCCTCGGTGCCCCTCACCCGGGGTGGGATTCAAATGTCTGTGGGTGTGGCCTAATTTGAGGGTGTGGCTTGCTGGTCATGTGACTGGGTGGGCATGGCCAGGTGACTGGCAAACCAAATACAAGTGGTCCTCACTTAATGGGCAGTTGTTTAGCAAGTGTTCTAATTTATGACTGGCCTCCCCAGAGCTACTTGCCTTTTTTTTGGAGTTTTGACAGCTTTAGATCAGGGGTCTAAATCCCACCCCGCCTGTGTGTGTGAGAGAGGGAGAGAGAAAGGTTGGATCAGATCTCTCTCTCTCTCTCTCCCACCAACGCCAGAAAGCCACCGTCAGTCAAAATTCATATTAGTGGTCTCCAGGATTTTAAATTATGAGTTTGGTGGTCCCTGAGGTCCAAATGTTTGGTGACCCCGATCTAAAGGGGTGAGCCTGAAAGAGGGAAAGAGAGAGAGAAAAGAAAGAGAGGAAGAAAAGAAAGAGAAAAGGGAAAGAAAGAAAAAGGGACAGACAAAGAAGGGAAGGGACAGAAAGAAAAAGAAATAAAGAAGGAGGGAGGGAGGGAGGGAGGAGAAAGATAATGAGATATCTATTCTAGTCCAATCACCTGCTCCAGCAGGATTAGAAGGATGTGTGTGTGTGTGTGTGTGTGTGTGTGTGTGTGTGTGTGTGTGTTCTCCTTGTAATTTACCAGTACATTTTGGTTTTGCCTTCTTCAGAATTGGCATTGTAATACATTGGGGAAAAGTAATTTTTTAGGGTGGAGATCTGGTCCAATGGATCCTGTTTAAAGCCTCAACAAAATGTGAGAGCTTCCTGATAGTCTTGACTATGTTTCGTCCACAAAACCTTTAACAGAAGCCAAAGAGGTTTCAATGTGCTGGCAAAGATGTTTCAATGTGGAAAAGGGCCTCAGTCTAAACTAGGCCTCATTCAATCTGATGCATCAGGTCTCTCTCTCTCCTCCTCCTTCCCTCCTTCCCTCCCTCCCTCCCAGACTGGCTTTGCTCTACTTTCCTGATGTGCCTGTGGGGCTGGCGCTTCGAACATGGATGGATGGATGGATGGATGGATGGGCCAGCACCTCAATGGATGAAACTGCAGGGCCAGCCAGCACCTCGAACGCCCCCCTGCCACTTCTTAACACCCCTCTGCCGGCCCCCTTGGGGACGCTAAAAGGTGGCAGGGGGTGGCATGTCGAACGCAGCCGCGGTGGCACATAACATGCCCCACTTCCGCATTGGAGGCACCGGCTCTGGAGCGTTACTACAGTCAATGGGTGAACCTGCAGGGCTGGCACCTCGAATGCTTCCCTGCCACCTCTTAGCAGGGGGCCAGCAGAGGGGTGCTAAGAGGCAGCAGGGGGCAGCACGTTGAACGTGGCCATGGCGGCATGTAACGTGCCACCGCTTCCGCATTGGAGGCACCAGCTCCTGAGCAGTGCTGCAATCAATGAGTGAACCTGCAGGGCCGGTGCCTTGAATAACCCCCTGCCGCCTCTTAGTGCCCCCCTGCCGGCCCCCTTGCCTCTTAGCGCCCCCCTGCCGGCCCCCTTGCCTCTTAGCGCCCCCCAAAGGCATCCCACCACCCCCAGGGGGCGCTACCACCCACTTTGGGAACCACTATGTTATAAATATTATGTTGACTAACTCTTGATCTGAACCTAAAATGCAAGTCATATTGATGAACATTAGGTGTGTGCCTGTTTGAATGTTTTCCTT